TCCACGCAAAGTGGCGTCTAGAGCAAGCACCACCAGACATGTGCGTCTGGCTTTAAGCCAGCAAGCATCACACTAACCCAACAATCAAAATTCTGCCTTAAGCGCCCAATGATTCGTTTTCATGGAAGAGAGATCTTAAAATAAAAACAACTAATAACCAAAATTCCAACAACAACAAATCCCTGTTCCAGCAGTTCCCTGCCCTGGGGAGCCTCCACTTATCGTTTGGGGGAAGGTTAGGGAAAAGTAGTCCTTCCCCTGGAGCATTGATCGCAGAGTGGCTTACTTGTGGGGCCACTAACCACAGCAGTTCAAAACCACTACGATCCGCAGGAAGACAACAAGGCTTTCTACTTCTGTAAAGAGTTACAGTCTTGGAAACCCACAGGGGCAGCTCTACCCTGCCCCATAAAGTCACTGGGGCAAATCGACTGGATGGCAGTGAGTCATTTCTATAGGCAAATGACCAGCTCCTTCCTCTTCGTCTGCCTTAGTCTGGAAGCTATGTCAGGTTGTGGTCACCATGAATGTATTTCACACTTTCACCTGGCTACCATGGGTGACCCTGCCGGTACTTGAAATATGCAAACCACAGCAGTAGGCCAGATGGGTGGACAGGAAGCGGAAGTTGCTAACACTACATGTTTCAGTAGGCATTTACTTGGGTAAACCTGCCGAGGTACTGTGTTTTGCTGTGCTGTCCCACAGATGTGGCGTGCTTTATACCCTTAAGGGCCATGGCCCCCCTTTAAGGAGGAAGGGTAGGTTTCCAACAGCGTGGCTCCCTTCATGTCTCTGTATCACCTTTTGGTCATGGTCAGAGTTCACACTTTTCATGGTGTGAAACACACTCAACAGACTGTAGTCAGCTCAGAGAGTGGAGTGGGTGAAACACTGGACTGCTGACTACAGGGCCAGTGGTTCAAACCCACCAGGCATTCTATGGGAGAAAGATGAGGCTGTCCACCCCTGGAAGGAGTTCCAGTGTTGGAGACACAAAAGTGGACAGGTCTGTGCTGTCCTCCTGTAGCGTCTCCTGTAGGGTCACTCTGAGCCCGAATGGACTTGAGGCAGCGTGTTTGGTTTGGCTTTGGTTTGGTGCTATTGAGCCAGTTCTGACCCATAGCAACCCCAGGTACAGCCGAATGAAACACGCCTGGTCCGGCATCACCCCCACAATTGTTCATATGCTTGAGCCCAGTGTTGCAGCCCCTGTGTCCATCCATCTTGTTGAAGGTCTTCCTCTTTCTCACTGCCGCTCTGCTTGACCATGATGTCCCTCTCCAGGGACTGATCTCTCCCGACAATATGTCCAAAGCATGTGAGATGGAATCCTTGCCTCTAAGGAACATTCTGGTTGTACTTCTTCCAAGACATATCTGTTGGTTCCTTTGGCAGTCTGTGGACTTTTCGGTCTTCCTCCCCAGCACCATCCTCCAGAAGCACCGGTTGGCTTGACTTGGCTTGGCATAGCGCACGCCGTACTTTCTCTGCCTGGGGAGCTGGCTGCGAGAGCTGTCGGCCTTGCAGCCTCAGGGATGCTGGAGAGGCCTGTTGCTTCTGTCCGGGTTCTGGATGGAAGTCCAGAGTGACTCAGGACAGGGTCCCCATCCTCTGCCTTACCCTCATTCTGGTGCTCCCTCAACTCTCCATCTCTAAGGGTCATGCTGCTGCTTCTAAGCAATTGCCACTTGAACTAGGCAGCTGCCTCGCAGGTATGACCCCAGTTGACTGCAGGGAATCAGCGATATTGGTCTCGGGGAAGGCAGCTGACTGAGGTGGTAGGCACGGAGACCTGAAAACAAACCCTGGTGCAGTCAGTTACACATTGGGCTGCTCACCACAAAGTCAGTGGTTCTAAACCATGAGTTGCTTTCCCAGAGAACAATGAGGCTTTCCATTCCCGAAAAGAATTAAGGTCTTGGAAACCCACAGAGGCAATTTTACCCTGTCCTGTAAGGACTATATGTCAGACTCGACGGCAGCAAGTTTGTTTGTTCTGACTCATGGCAGCCCAGGTGGGGTGGGGTAGGACCTCCCCCGAGGTGTTCTCATGGGTGTCATCCTCACAGGGGCAAACCTCCAGACCTTTCTTTCATGAGCCACTGGTGGGTTCGATCCACCAACCTTTAGTTAATAAATGGGGGCCAAATGTGGGCAGTGGAGGTAGGACTACTTCCTGGTGATGTTTTTGAGTGAGCTGCTCCCTCTGACCAGTTGAAGGTGGGGTGGCAGGGAGATGTGTGGAGGGTGTGGGGAGATTGGTTTGATGTGTTGGTAATTATTCTAAAAATTACAGAGGACCGTGGGCTGGAAGGAGAGAGACCAGAGCACTTTATCACGTTGTGGCCACTTTAATCATCGCAGCTCACTTATTCCCTTCTTCCAAGCCATCTACCCTGGCGTGGGGCAGGTGAGAGCTCAGAAGGTAGCAGGCAGCAGGTTCGGGTGCTAAGTGGTCCCCAGGGTGAGGGCTTTCCCTTACATAAAATGTGCCTGGAACAGATGGCCTGGCATTACGACCGAGGGTTCCAGACACAGACATTCTTCTCAGGGACCAGGGACTCTGCCAATCGTGGGCCTTCGTGCTGCGGATCCCATCAGCCTCCTCAAGTGTGAACAGGTCTCAAGGGCCCCGGGATGCATTTCTGGGATGGAGTGGAATGCATCCCCCATCCCGAAAATCTGTTTTTCTTTATTCCCGATGTAACAGCGAAGTGGAACTTACAAAGTGATGGTTGTGGGGAGAGCTATTTAGACTCTGTTTAGGCACTGCCATGTGAGTGCCTGGGTGGCCCATGCATGCGGTTAAGTACTGAACTGTTAACCCAAACGTTGGTGGTTCAAACCCAGCCAGAGACGCGTCGGAAGAGAGGCCTAGTGACCTGCTTCTGTGGCACAGTTCTGCTCTGCATATATGGGGAGCTGGGGCGCCCGTCGATTGACACGACAACCGTCAACAGCACTGTGGCTGTAGTGGAGAGGTTCCCATTGCTTTCCAAGTGGACACAAGGGAAGAGTTGGGCCCACATGGATGTGCCAAGCCAGCCCAGGGGCCCAGGCCATGCCCATTGCCAGGGGCCTGAGAGAGAGCAAAGGTCAAGTGCATCAGCCATGCAGGAAGGAAGAGTTTGCTAGAAACCCTAACATTCAGCACGTGTATACCAGCACCCCTGCTGCCGGGCATTGTTTTAGAATCAAAATGTCTGTCTCCACGGCATTCACTCTCTCCTGGTGGCTCTTGCCCATAAATGACAGTTTGGAGACCATACCTAAGAAGGTCAGCCTTTTGGAAGAGACCCCAGAAGGTAGCAGTAAACCCAAACCTATGGTCGGAAGGCCCGGGACCAATTTCTGTCGTCCCACGTGTGACTGTGATGTATCGATCTGCCACCAATCATGAATTTGTGCACTGGTGGCCTGGTGGTTACTCACTAGGCTGCAAACTGCAAGGTCAGCAGTTTGAAACCTCCAGCTGCTCCTCAGGAGAGAGATGAGGCTTTCTCCTGTGAAGCATTTCTGTCTCGGGAGACACCAGGGGCAGTTCTACCTTGCCCTCTGGGTTTGCTCTGAGTGGGATCAACTTGATGGTGTGAGTTTCCCCCTGTGTTTCCGTCCTATTTATGTAGCTTCCCGACTCAATCCTCAGGTACCACTCTGACCTTGGGCTAATGGCCCCCCTCATCCCGATGATGTGTCTATGTCTTTGTGTTGTCTGGGTCTCTTGGAAGCCTTGATAAATGTTCTTCGTAAAGTATATTGGGGGTGGGGTTCTCTCTTGTACCCTAAAACACGGGGCAGGATGAAAGTGACAAGGATCCAGAAAAGCCATCCTGCCGACTGTCCACCTCCAGCGAGTGCTCCCGCCAGAGGAATCAGGGATCGAGCTGTGTGTCCCCAAAATATGCCCCCAAACTAGGAGGCTGGAATCCTGACCCGGACACCTGTGGACACAATCCTATTAGGGAATGAGGTCCCCACCCATACACACACACACACACACACACACACACACACACACA